CTAAGTTCAAAAGTCTGGTCATGAAACTTGTCAGTATCTTTAGTCATCCTCTCCTTCCTTCCCCTCTTCTTCATTCACTCAACCACTTAATTTATAGCCAGTAAGCCCCTACCCATGAGGTGACTTTCCTAGGCAGTAGCAGTGCAGAGGTGAACAAAAACATAAGGTCATGTTAATAGATCTTAAGTTCTAATAAGGGAAAACAGAAAGTACAAAACTAACAATGGTTCCAGACTGAGAGATGAGTACCAAAGATAAGATGGCAGAGCAAGTAGCAGAGGCAGACAAGGCAGAGGAGGAGGAGGAGGCAGCGACAGCTGTTTCAAATCTTGCCAATGACCCACCGTCCTCAATGTCCCTGTCTGTGACATTCTTGACAATCCTCCTTTCCAAACATCTTTTTCTTCATTGCCATAAAACAGGCTTCTTCTTGCACTCTTCTTACCTTGCAAACCCTGCTTTGATTGTTCCCCCCTCAAACGCCTGCCCCCCACTCCATCTCTTTAACGAAGCTCTTCCTCCCCAGTGCCTGTCCTCTGTTCTGTCACAGCCTCTCTCTGAGAATGACTCCCACTGGCTGTTTTTGTTGTATTTTCCCCTAGTCTTGTCTTCTCTGAGGATTATCTAGACAAGTCCCTTCAATAGCAAATGATCACTTCAGCTAGGGGGGTGTAGTGGCACTTCAAACTCAAAGTCCTGACTTTATCCTCTTCCTCTAGAAACAGAACGGCCCTCACTCTGTCATCCCTCCCCCCCCCCACACCCTGGCATTTCCATGGACCAAGGGCTGGGTTGGTACTGAACAAGTCAGAATGGATGTAGGCTCTGCGCTGATTCTCAGATGTGTCTGAGAATGTTTGGTCCACTGTTACCACTGCACCCCTGCCACCATCACGCTCCCCAGCACACCCTCCGGGCCCTCTTGTCTGGATTAATCCACACCCCCACACCCCCTACTGCTACTGAGAAGGCACCTTGATGACAATCACAGGAAGATGATTCCAATCACCACCTGACTCTTGTGACACTTCACTGGTGGAAAACCTTTAGCTGCTTCTGGCTCACTGATGAAGTGAAAACATTCCTTAGAGCGTGGGAAGCATTCTCGGATCCTGATCACTCTGTTGGCCTGGTCATTAACCACTCCCTTGGATGACCCTTTCAACCTATAAGTAAATGGAACCGTTGGCGCTTGCTGTTGCTATGGCTTGGATCTTCTGTATCTGCTAGTCCAAATTCTCCGTACTACAGATGTAAGAGTCATAGGTAAGAGTCTAGCTAAGAGTCATCTTGTTAATAGTCATCTCTTCCAGGGGACAAGGGTCAGTGTACATGGGTGGTATTGAAGAATGACAGTGCTAAATATCCTCTGAACCACAGAGTCAGCAACACGAAAAGTGTGAGACCCAAACTTAACCAAATTCTAAAAGGTGTTTGCAGGAGTGAAGAGTCAGCGAGGGTGCCTGGGAACACTGAGGGATGGAAGCTAATGCTGGTGGTGAGATGGTGCTGGAATACCATATATCTAAAATCCAACTACGGATGACTTTGTAAATAAGGTACTTTGATAAAATTTAGGGGGAGAATATTATCCGTAATGAACTACTGTGAACTACTTTATGAAAATAAAATGTATAAAAATCGCAAAAAAAAAAAAAGCATTGGAGCAAGGAAATATATAGTACTAAATGGTAGCAAATTCTTGGACTTTGACTCAGAACTGAGGTCTCCAAGCTGTGGGGAAGGAAGAAATGAATTAGTAGTGACACAAGGAAATGGAGGAGGATCTTGGACTCTTTGGTGGCAGTGAAGATGTATCAAAGCCATGAATGTTAACACTCCTATAATCATGTTACCTCAGCTCCAATAAAATTTAAAAAAGTTTTTAAAAAAATTTAGGGGGAAAAAATCACCTCTCCCATTTAATTTCCCCTGTATTCTCTCTCTCTCTCTCTCTCTCTCTCTTTTAATTAGTTGTGGGAGAGTCACTACATGCTCAGTGGGGGCATCCAGGATGACAAAATAAATTACAAATGTAATTTAATCACCTGTAATTAGCCTGTGGTGCACAGGGGCCCATGTGGCACCAGAGACCCCACCCAGGGCCTCGCTCAAGCAGAGCAGGTGCTCAACCACTGGAGTTGCATCTCAAGCCCCTTTCCCTCATATAATTAACAGAAAACAAGTTCCCCCCAGTTCATACTGTGCTGTGCCTCCTGGTCATTTGTGTACAGCTGTCACTACTGTCACCTTACACTTTCCTTGAGGACAGGGCCTCTTCATGCTTGGCTGTCCTCCCTGTGCATGGAATAATGCTTTGTGGGGACAAGGAGACATTTTTAGAAATGAATGTTTGACAAATAGACTACAGATGTAATTTAATCACATGGAATTAATGTAAAGGATTAATTACACCAATCCTTTAATGTAATCTATATAACCTGTTAATGAGTAACTTAAAGAAAGAGATACTTGGAAAAAGTTAATCTTCTATTAAAAGAAAATGCTTAAAATGCAGATATGTAATATTAGAAAAGTAAGATCTAAGTTAAATATTTAATAAGGTTGGTTTCAGTATGTCTAATTTTCTCAAATATACAGGTCTCTGTACTACCTAAAAACATTTGCTTGGATATATTTTGAACTTTGCTGACCACACATCTGACAAAGGGTTTATATCCTAGATGTATAAAGTACTGGAAAAATTTAGGAAAACAAAAAATTTTTTTTATTAAAAAAAGATGGGAAGACAAGCAGACAGATAAATAGAATAGATATGTCAGTTGCTATGCAGGAAAAAATGCTCTCTCCATCATGTTCCCCTGATGGTACATGATGTTCATGTTCCCCAAACGGCAATGAACTATCCCCTCATACCAGCAAGACTGGGACACATGAAAAAGAGAACAAACAACCAATGCTGGTGGGCATGTGTGGAGAAGAAATCTTCATCCACCATTGTGGGAAAGCCATCTGGTTCAGCCTCTATGACAATTATTTTTGGAGACTTCTCAAAAAATTAAGAAGCGAATTAAAATTAAAATTAAGGTGACCCAGCAATTCTATTTCTTGGCATCCACCCTAAGGGCCTAAAATATATATATATGTATGTATATATATATATATATATATTTTTATTTTTGACATTGGACTACATCACTGTAGTCCTGTTCACAATAGTCGAGATTTGAAAGCAACCAATGTACAAGAGCAGATGAGAGGATAAAGAAACTGTAGTGTGGATACACACTGAAATACTTCTCAGCTACACGGAAAGATGAAAGAATGCAATTCGGTGCTACACAGATGCATGCTGAGTGAAAATACTCAGAGGGAAAGGGACAGATCCGGAACATTCTCTCTCACATGTGGGCTATGAAGACACACAGTGAGGGAAGAGCAATTGGCCAATGACATCAGAGCCTAAAGCCATCCTACAGGAAGTAAGTTTACCAAAGGGCGGGGTAGGTAGGGACCAGAAGGGCCCCTGGGATTTGTGGGGGGAGGCTAACTCTCTGGGAGTGGGTGTGGTATTGGAACACTGTATGCCTGAAACTTTATTAACATTCCTGTAAATCAAGGCGCCTAAATAAAAACTGGAGTTGGTGGGGATACTTTGAACTGTTGGCAGGGCTGACTGCCGCCCGATGAAATAGCAGGATTATTCCCAGACGAGGGAAGTGCAACACCACTGTCACTCTTTAGTTAGAGCCATAAAACCACGCCACAGAAGGAAATGTGCCTAATTCCTGGCACTGCTTTACTTGGTACCCCTCTGGGGGAGCTTCCCCGGAGTTCCTCAGCAGGATACACATGGGGCATCTCACCCCAGACACAGCCCACGTGACCAAACTACGGCTCCTGCAGGCTGCTACCTTTCAGCAAAGAAGTTCTGCCTGCCCAGTGGCCCCCATAGTCCTCCCAGAATCATGCTGGCCACTCACTTTCTCTCTTTTCTCCATATCTAAACTGACCCAAAGCTTGGCTCACTTCCGGGACAGAAATGGAACGTGATCAGTCCCCGGCTTCGCTGCTCTAGGCTGTCCTGAGCCCCGCTCTCGTCTGCCTACACTGAGTCTTTAACCTGTCTTCCTGCCTCCTTTGCTGCCCGGGCGTCATCTTCCCTCAGCATGGCTGTCAGAGAGAGCCCATGTAAGCCGGAGTCACAGCATGTCACCCCTGCTTCTTCCAACACCCCCTCTTCCGTATCCAGTACATGGGAAAACTAAAGCAGAAACAGAAGAGTCTTGACTTTTTTCCCTCAAGTGTCTGAATCCCAACACATAAATTCCTTTTTTTTTTTCAGGTCTACCAGGTTGTGCTCAGGTCTTGCTCCTGGCTCTGTGCTCAGAGAACCATACGTAGTGCCAGGGATTGAACCCAGGTTGGCTGCAGGCAAGGCAAATGCCCTACCCTCCTATCTCTCTGGTCCCAAGATAGAGACTGATTTTAAGAAACTCAAGGGGCAATGTATAGTTGTTAGGAGTCAGAGCAATTTACTCTTCCTACTCAATCATTTACTTTCCCACAAAGTCAGAAGAAAGAATACGTAAGCTTGTTCCAGGAATATAAGTCAACCCCAAGGGTGTAAACATCATACTGATATTTATTCCAACTATGTAAAAATCTAAACATTTTCTTCCTCTTGAGTAGTCTGAGTAAACCCTACTGGCGTTACAAAACCCCTGTGGATCCTTAAACACGTTTCTTGAATAAGCTAGGGAAGATCAGAAGTTTCGCATTCACCTGGAGAACTCCAGCCTTACAGTTGCCAAGTCTCGCAACGGGAGCAGTATTTGGCAAGATGGTAATACTGTTCGGCCACATTATGATTTCACTTCTGTGAAAATGGGATGGGTCGTCTCTTGAAACTTTTCAAACTTTTTCACCGTTTATTTCAGCGGTGCTGAGACACACAGCGAGACGCTCAGGTTGCTGGTGGGGCGTGGGCCACTCTGGGCCCAGGGCTGAGAGCACCGAGGCGGGCCCGGCTCTCTTACCTTCTCGAGCGTCGTCTCCGTCTCGGCGGCGTGAGTCTTTTTCAGCTCCATCTTCATCTTCTCAGCCTCGGCCTTCAGCTTGCTGATGGCGTTCTCGTGGTCCCTGGCGGTCCTTTGCTTCTCCTCCTCGCGGAGCAGCCCCAGCTCCACCAGCTGCTGCTTCCGCTGGGAGTTCACGTGGATCAGCTCCTCCCTCAGCTTATGCACCTGGCTCTCCATGTCGGCAATCACCTTGTTTTTCCAAAAAAAAAAAAAAAGATGGGAAGAGGATAATGAATGGGAAAGTCCCAAAAGAAGAACTGCAAAAGGTCAACGATAAACAATCTCCTCCTCTTTTAGCCTTCTTCCCCTTTTTCTCCAATCCCAGACCCATTTCCTCCCAGCCCAGAGGAAATTTCTACCCAGATCATGGTATCAGGACAAAAAATTTTGTTTCCTGCTTCTAAACACCGATGTGAGTGGATTTGTAAATGTCTGTTTAAATGAAAAAAATCAGGGCCAGCAGGTAGGGTGCTGACTTGAATGTGGCCAACCTGGGCCCAATCTCTGGCACCCAACAGGGCCCCCACCAAGTCCCACCAGGAGTGCAGATCCAGGAGTAAGCCCCACGCACCACCGGGTGTGTCTCCCCCAAAAATGACACAAAAACTATATGGAATATTATAGTTCTACGAACTCTCCTGTAATGTGCTATTTCAATGTGAAATCTCTAAGATTCGGCCCCGGGAACTCTCTCCCCACTCAAACTGGTACCCGCCCAGCACAAGGGCCACTTCCCGGACCTGTGGATGCTAACGCAGCCGCTAAGTATTCTCCCACTACTTATCCCATAGGAACCATAAGTTACCCTCTTAGATGGAACTTTCACTAGGTTGGCTTAACCAACAGAAACACATTAGCCAATAATACATTAAGCCCATCTCTATTTATTCTGCATCTCAAGCAGAATAGTAACAGTGAGCATGAAGATCTAAACCACACTGGTCACAATGGTAAAGCAATGCAAAAGCCCACTAAGCTTTCTTATTAAAGAGCCTAGCCCAGAAGACACCAACCATAATGAAGTGCTAGACAACCTCTCTGACAAGAAATTCAGAAGGGAGCTACTGAGGATGCTTAGGGAGCTAAAAGAAACAATGGAAAGCAATGTCAACAAAAGATAAGACGATTGGAAGGTAGAAATGAGGAAAATGCAAACAGAAATATCAGACCTGAAAAACCTGGTAGGCGATTTACAAAACTCAGTGGAAGGCCTCAGCAGCAGAGTAACAGCTGCAGAGGACAGAATCAGTGAGCTCGAAGATAAAGTCCAGAGACTCTCCAGAAAAGAGCAGAAAATGGAAAAGAGACTCACAATTCGGGAACAGATGGCAAGAGAAGATTTTGATGAAGCCAAGAGGGGTAACATGAGAATTATTGGAGTCCCAGAGGGACAGGAAGAAAACCCTGATGAAGGAGAAACTGTCATTGCTACATTTCCAGAGCTGAAGAAAACATGTGACCACATTCAGGAGGCCCAAAGGGTATCAACTAGAAGAAATCCAAATAAAAAAAACCCAAGACACATCCTGATCAAAATGACCAAAACCTTAGATAGAGACAAAATTCTGAAAGCAGCAAGATCAAAGAAAGAAATTTCCTACAAAGGAAGATCGTTAAGATTCACAGCTGATTTGTCTCATGATACCCTCATGGCCCGAAAACAGTGGTGAGATACAGTGAAAAAACTCAATGAAATTAACGCCTCATCAAAAATACTTTACCCAGCGAGACTCTCATTCATAATAGAAGGAACAACACACAGCTTCACAGACAAACAACAGCTCAGGAACTTCATAGACTCAAAACCATGGTTACAAGAACAACTAAATGGGCTACTTTAAGACAAGACAGGCCCCTCAAATGCACCAAATTTCAACAGAAAAATGGGAAAAACCCCATAACAATAATCTCTCTCAATGTCAATGGGCTAAATGCACCAATTAAAAGACACAGAGTGGCAGGATGGATTAGAAAATGGAGCCCAACATTCTGCTGCCTCCAAGAAATACATCTCAATAGTCAAAGCAAACGCAGGCTCAGAGTCAAAAGCTGGAAAACAATCCTACAGGCAAACAGCTCCCATAAAAAAGCTGGGGTAGCCATCCTAGTATCAGACCACATTGACTTCAGAGTGAAGAAGGTCACAAGAGACAATGAAGGCTATTTCATATTGATCAAAGGATCTGTACAACAGGAAGAACTTACAATACTAAATGTATATGCACCTAACGAGGGACCAGCAAAGTACTTAAAACAACTACTCATAGACTGGGAGAAAGACATTGATAGCAACACAATATTAGTGGGAGACTTCAACACCGCTTTATCACCTCTTGATAGATCAACCAGACTCAAGCTTAGCAAGGACATACTTCATCTGAGGGAAAAAATGGAAGAAAGAGACTTAGTCGATATATACAGGACATTTCATCCTCAAAAAGCTCAATATACATTCTTCTCAAGCGTACATGGAACATTCTCCAAGATAGATCACATGCGCCACAAAACATACCTCTGTAAAATTAAGAAGATAGAGATTGTATCAACAATCTTTTCAGACCATAATGCGCTGAAATTAGAAGTAAATCACACACAAAAACAGAAAACTAAATCAAACACCTGGAAATTAAACAGTTCACTATTGGACGAGTGGCTTAGAAAGGAAATCAAAGAGGATATCAAAAGATTCCTGGAAATGATATGGGACACAACAAAAGCTGTGTTAAGAGGAAAGTTTATAGCTCTACAAGCATTCCTCAGGAAGGAGGACCAAGCCCACATAAATAATCTAACCTCACAATTTAAGAGCTTGGAGAAGGACCAACAAAAGGAGCCCAATCCAAGCAGGAGGAAGGAAATAATAAAACTCAGAGCAGAGATTAACGAGATAGGAACCCAAAAAACAATCCGAAAGATCAATGAAACCAAGAGCTGGTTCTTTGAGAAAATAAACAAGATCGATAAGCCTCTAGCAAAACTCACAAAGAAAGGAAGAGAGAAAACCCTAATAAACCGGATCAGAAATGAAAAGGGGGTCACTACAACAGAAACTACAGAAATTCAAAGATCCTCAGGGAGTACTCTGAGGAGCTTTATGCTATGGAACATGAAAACCTTGAGGAAATGGATAAATTCCTAGATTCCTATAGACTCCCAAGGCTGAACCAAGAAGACCTGGAATATCTGAATAGACCTATCACCATCAAGAAAATTGAAACGGTAATAAAAAGTCTCCCCAAGCACAAAAGTCTTGGTCCAGATGGATTCACTAGTGAATTCTTCCAAATCTTTAAAGAGGACTTACTCCCAATACTCTTTAAGCTTTTCCACGAAATTGAAATTACAAAGACAATTCTGAAAAGTTTCTATGAAGCAAGTACCACCCTGATACCAAAAGCAGACAGAAATACCACAAAGAAAGAGAATTACAGGCCAATATCCCTGATGAACACAGACGCAAAGATCCTAAACAAACTATTAGCAAATAGAATCCAACAATTCACCAAAAAGATCATACACCATGACCAAGTAGGATTCATCCCAGGGATGCAAGGATGGTTTAACATTCGGAAATCAATCAATATAATGCATAATATCAATAAAAGAAAAGATAAAAACCATATGATCATATCAATAGATGTAGAGAAAGCATTTGACAAGATCCAGCACCCATTTATGATGAAAACCCTTGCCAAAATGGGTATAGAGGGGAATTTCCTCAATATAGTTAAGGCCATCTACCACAAGCCTACAGCAAGCATCATCCTCAATGGGGAAAAACTGAGAGCCTTCCTTCTAAGATCAGGGACGAGACAAGGATGCCCACTCTCTCCACTGCTGTTCAATATAGTACTGGAAGTACTTGCAATAGCAATTAGGCAAGAAAAAGATATTAAGGGCATTCAGATAGGAAAGGAAGAAATCAAGCTCTCACTATTCGCAGATGATATGATACTATACTTAGAGAACCCTATAACCTCTACCAAGAAACTCCTAGAAACAATAGACTTGTACAGTAAAGTTGCAGGCTATAAAATCAATACCCAAAAGTCCATGGCTTTCCTATATGCAAACAGTGAGAGAGAAGAAAGTGACTTGAAAAAAAAATCCTGTCCATAATTGTATCCCAGAAAATCAAGTGCCTAGGAATCAGTTTAACTAAGGAAGTAAAGGACCTGTATAAAGAAAACTACAAAACTCTACTTTAGGAAATAAATGAGGACACGAGGAAATGGAAAGATATCCCCTGCTCAAGGATCGGGAGAATTAACATAGTCAAAATGGCAATTCTTCCCAAAGCGTTGTACAAATTCAATGTGATCCCTATAACGATACCCATGACATTCTTCAAAGAAATGGAGCAAACACTCCTGAAATTCATATGGAACAATAAGCTCTCACTAATAGCTAAAGCAATTCTTGGGAAAAGGAAAATGGGAGGAATCAACCTCCCTAACTTCAAACTATACTACAAAGCAGTAATAATTAAATCAGCATGGTACTGGAACAAAGGCAGAGCTGCAGACCAAAGGAACAGGGTTGAATATACTTACATCTCCCCTCAAACATATGATCATCTAATCTTTGATAAAGGAGCAAGAAATGTGGAGTAAGGAAATCCTCTTTAACAAATTGTGCTGGCAAAACTGGATGGCAAAATACAAAAAAATGGGCTCAGATCTCTGCCTAACACAATGTACAAAAGTAAGATCAAAATGGAGTAAAAACCTCAACATCAGACCAGAATCCATAAGGTACACTGCAGACAAAGTTGGCAAAACCCTCCATGACATTGAAGCTAATGATATATTCAAAGATGTCACGCCACTGGCCAAGCAAGTGAAAACAGAGATAGACAAATGGGACTATCTTAAACTAAGAAGCTTCTGCACCTCAAAAGAAACAGTGACCAAAATACAAAGACAGTCTACAGAATGGGAAAGGATATTTGCCGAATACACATCTGACAAGGGGTTGATATCAAGAATATACAAAGTACTGGTTGAACTCCACAAGAAGAAAACATCTAACCCCATCAAAAAATGGGGTGACAATGAACAGAAACTTTCTCAAAGAAGAAATCCGAATAGCTAAAAGGCACATGAGAAAATGCTCTACATCATTACTCATCAGGAAGATGCAGATCAAAACCACAATGAGATATCATCTCACACCACAGAGATTGGCTC